TTGCTCTTGCCAGCCCGACTAACCATACTCAGAGGTGGTAGTTTTGACTTTTTTCTTTTGCCATCCCATTCAATTTTAAGGTTTAGTGTTGATGCTCCTTTTTAAGAAAAAAAAAACCATGAGAGCTCTACAATATTTAAGATTTTAAAAAATGAGGAACAACTGATAAAGATGAGTATTGTTTTAGAGGAGGACATTGCATTATTCGAGTAGATGATATGCCCAAGGACGTGGAGGATAAAAGGCGATATGCAAATGTTCAAGAAAACTTAAAGTTGAAAAATTGTAGCCTGAAGCAATGACAGGTTTAGGGTATGAGAAGAAGTTATGTTGATTGAAGGTGTTGTGGGTTTCAACTTATCAGTAAATTTGAAACTCCTTATTTTTTAGGGTTTCTAGTAACAACACATTGTGTGCAAGCTTATAGACAATCAGTACAAAGTCAATATATACTTATTGAGTATAATTCCCCCTGGTATAAGTTATGTATTGACTATCTACAAATTATGTATTGACTGTATAAGTTTGTAGACAGTTAGTATATGATCAATACATAGTATATATGTATTGACATTGTCTCCCTTGGTAAAAGCTATATATTAACTATTTACAAGATTTGTACTGATGTGTACTGTGTACAAGCTGTTAGTACATAGTCGATATACAGTTAGCATATAATTAAAATTGTGTATCATTCATTGATCCATGAAGAATTATTTTTACTAGTGAAATTTAATAAACCTAACTTACGAAATGTAATACAAAATCAATACACAGTCGATACATAGTTAATACACAGTGAATAAGAAGTAAATACACAGTTAATAGATAGTCAATACTCATTCAATAAATAGTTAATAAGCAATGAATTATAATACCTCATAGATATTTGAAATTTTTGAAAAAAAAAATTAAAAAATGAAATGCAAAGTCAATACACTGTTAATATATAATCAATATGTTGTCAATACATAATTAATATGCAATCAAAATGTAATTAATACATAATTAATAGATAGTCAATATTAAGTCAATACATAGTTAATACTTCATGGATAAAAATAACTTGTAGACATTTAAAATTTGTGCTACCTAATTTAGAAAATGGAATATAATGACAATACACAATCAATATATAGTCAATACATAATGAATACACATTGAATATATAATTAATACACATTTAATAGACAGTCAATACATAATTAATAAAATATAAATAAAAATAACTTATAAATATTTAAAAGCTCTGAAAAATAATTTAAAAAAATTAAATATAAAGTCTATACACAGTCAATATATAGTTAATATACAGTTAATACATAATTGATATATAATTAATACACAATCAATAAGTAATTAATACATAGTTAATAAATACTAAATACCAAGTCAATACATAGTTAACACAAAATGAACAAAAATAAATCATAAATATTTAAAACATGTGTAACCTAATTTAGAAAATGAAATACAAAGTCGATATACAATCAATACATAATTGAAACACAGTCAATACATAGTCAATACACAGATAATAGATAGTGAATATCAAGTTAATACAAAGATAATACATGATCAAAAAAGAGAAAAAATAAACAAAAATAATTCATAAACATTTTAAATATGTGCAACCTAATTTAGAAGACAAAATGCAAAGTCAATAAATAGTCAATACTCATTTAATACATAATGAAATTATCTTGACATTGTATCAAAGAAATTATTCCTTACAAGTTCAATCCTTAATGCACATTCAATACATTATCTATGCACAGTCTATACACAATCAATACCCAATTGACACACAATTAATATGCAATTAATGCACAATTAATACAAATTCAAAAAAGAATAATAAAAATGAACAAAAATAACTCATATACAATGCATGAAATATGTGTAACCTAATTTAGAAAATGAAATACAAAGTTGATATGTAGTCGATACACCCTTGATACACACTCAATATACAGTCAATACACACTGTACAACCTTATATGTTTAAAATTTTACATGAAGGTTTACATTTGCAGTTTGCAGTACCGCAAGCATCCAATCGTGTATGCCAAATCGATTGCCCTTTGCACTTTTTTTAATAGTGCAATGAATGATCTTGTTCTTATTAAATAAGGTGGGTCACAACTCTTTTGTTTTTAAACAAGGTGGGTCACAACAACAACAAAAAAGTGACAAGAAAATACCCTAGATCCTAAAAATCATAAATGTAAACCCTAAAAACTATTTTTAGAGAAACACCAAAAAAATTATATATTTGAAGATGAACTGAATGAGAATGACATACTAACCTTGATGGAACTTAACGAGTTAATAGATCACATGAATGCTTATGAATAATGAAACATCTACAATGCCAAAGATGAAGAGTGAATAGTGAACCCAGTCCAATACAGAAGATGAAAAGTGAATTTGAAGATGAAAAATGAACTGACTCCGCAACTTTTGATCTGCCATGAATTCAAAATTTTCACCACTAGGCCCGACCGATTCGATTAGCTCGTAAGAGAAAAATATAATAATAAGAAATCTATATTAAATACCACCTCTTAGCTAGGTCGGTCAGGCTAATAAGAGCAAAATAAAATACAAAATTCATGTGTCATTATTTTATAAGAGTTCGAATACATTGCTATGTCTAGGCTCCAAAAGTAATAATTTATCCTCCTCTAGACACAAGTGAATACATTTGAAACAAAGTTCAAATGAGGATTTAAATTTAAACTTTTTAGAGCTAATTTCATTCATCATAATAGTTAATTTTTTTATTACATTTAAAATAAATTTAAGAATATATTTATTAAAATAGTAAGCATTGAATGTATTTGATCAATATGTGACTTGACACATGGTTGAATAGAGTCCATAGAGTCACGACAGTGTGGCCACTCTTAGGTCTACATACCTGCAAGACCGGACAACAAACATGCATTTAATCAAGACCGTAGAGACATCTGATGCTACTCTCCCAGATGAGGGTTTCTTGGTCTCCCTAGGCTAGCCTTCGCCCTATTTTTGCTTTTCATCTACCTTCTTGGTGGATATTTTAGGGTTTTTATAGTTTGAGAATAGATTTATTTTCTTTTTCTTCTATGGATTCATGGATTCTTTTTTTTCCTCCTCTAAAATTATATTTGCATCCTTGTCCGGCTTCGAGTTTTTCCTCGTCAGGAATGAAAACTTGGAATAGGTTATTGACATCTCGTTAATCTTCACCCAAACCTTTTTCTATTTCTTTTTTACCTTCTTGGTGGTTTTACTCTACTTTAGGGGTGTCAATTTTGGTTCACGGGTCATGTTCGGGTTGAACCCAAAACTGACCTGGCACTATTCGAGTCAGCCCGAACCTGACTCATTTTTACAAACAGTTCAAATTTTCAGACTCAAACCCACCCATTTCGGGTCCGAGTCAATCCTATATGACTTGGTACCAATAAAAAATTGCTAGTTTTTGGGTCCAAAAAATGGGTAAATCACCTCTTTTTGGGTCAAAAATGGGTTGCTGGGTAAAAATGGGTTGCTGGGTAAAAAAATGGGTTAATTTTGGGTCTAAGGGTTAACCCGAACTCGACCTGATTTTTGAAACAGGTTGAATTGTTAAACCTGAATCAGACCCGTTTCGAGTTTGAGTTGACCCTAACCTAAAATTTTCAGATTAGGTTTTTGGGTCATGTCAAATATTTACATGCCAACTCTACTTGCTTTGAATGAGAGCTTTTTTTTGATGAAGTATTCTTATCTAGAAGATTATGATTTAGTTTGGTCGGGTGGCCCTTAATATTTCTTTGGTAAAACATTTATTATTCAAAAATGATCGCCTCTATCCTAATCGTGAAGAGTTTACGTTCATACCTTTATGGGTCAAATTTCTTGATTTACCTTACATTGGAAGGCATTTCTTAAATAGCAAGTTTGATTGGGGTTCTGATTGCTGTTGATTCTTTAACAACAGAGCAAATTAGGCTTACTTTTGCTAGGGGATTAAAACATCTGATGTCCTTATTCAGAGAAATCTTAATGTCTCTACTTCTTGTATCCTTTGTTTGAAAGCAGATAGAAGTCATAATCATTTGTTTTTAGTATGATTATTCTTTTTGTATTATTTCTAACTTTTTTTTGCCTCATATTAATTTTTTTATGTTCAGGCCTAATTTAGAGCAATTACTGTATTTTATTTCTTATCTTCACTATGATTCTCATATTAAGAATTTTTTTTATCATCAGTTAGTTGTTTTATTTACTTTATTTGGGAAGAGAGGAATTCCATAAGGTTTGAGAATATTTTTCTAATACTGATTCTTTGAGTATACTTCTATATTATAATCTTTTAACTAAGATTTTTCATTGGAAATCTTTTCATTTTATTTTTGGATTTTTATCTGGTAGTGCTTTTTGTTGGTTTATGGCAACTAGGTTTTTTATATAACCTTGGATGGTCGGTTATAAAACCACTGAAGGTTTGTTCTTCTCTTATGTATCTGAATTTTTTCTTTTATTCTCATTATTTTCTTACTGTTTTCTAGGATTCGGGAGATGCTCTTACTGCCCTTGGGTGTTATTGCAAGTTTAGGGGCTCGATTGGGTTATTATCCTTTCTTCTTGCTTATGAGGAGTTTGAATTTCACTAGTGGTGGTTCACTCCTCTTCTCGAGCCTTTCCTGGGCTACATCAAGAGGAGAGGCTATTTTGCTATTGATTGGCTTAGAAGTTTTTTCTTATGGGTTCAGTTGGTTCTGGGACAATTGGTTTTTTCTTCTTGAGTTATTTTTTTCGTTGGGATTACCTATCTTTGTAGGTGTATTCTCGCAATTTTTATTTTCTCATTTTTTTAGAAGCTTTTTCTTTCATTGTTAGGTTCTAATTGTTAGGTTCTAATTTGATGTTGTAATTTTTTTTTTGTTTTTCTTACATATCCTGTATTTTTTGGAATAAAATTCCTATTTTCCTCATATATATATATATGCTTTTGTCGGAGAGCTGAATCAACGTATTGGCAAGCCGTTTCGAAGCTGTTTCATGTGGGGCGTACTGCGGGTCGGTATTGCGGGGCGCCGTTTTCCTTCGCGATGAGTGATCCTCTCGATTTCGAGGCGGAGGACCTGCTTCTGAACTTTCCACCCGCCCCAACTAAAAGGTTGCCTATGGTTAACCCTATCTCTTGATCTCCTACAGTCCTTCGCTGTTCACCTCTCTCTTTCCCGACTTCCTTGAACAGTTCTAGATACCCAGCGCGCATTCATGCACCTTGATGCAATTTTGAAGAGAGAGCGAAGTTTACACTTTCATGCAATTAATAAGTTGAGGGATTTTTATTTAGAAATTCCCAAGAAAAAAAAAAAAAAACAGTTGCACGCCCTAGATGCAAAATCCATCTTTTGTAATAGAGGTTCAACTCTAAATTGGAGGGATGCCAGCACAAGTTCACATTGAGACGAAAAAAAAATGAAGATAATGTTGTTTGGGGTACTTGTTATGGTGGTCACGCATGTCGACTGCAATTGTGGATGGCAGCGTACTTAATGCAATATCAACACAAATGGTGTCTCCTAGCAACATCTATATGAATAACATTAGCTACGAACATCTTGTTGTTAGTTAACCTCTGGATGACACAAACAAATGATACAATGTTGTTAGTAAACAATGTCCTTTTGTGAATGAGTACTATCACCCTCGCCATTGATAGGCGTCATATAATTCTTTTACGCCAAGTGTTAGGGTATGTCATTAGCAGGCATCATATTGTTATGCCGGTTCCTGCTGAACCGGCCCCAAATCCTGAACTAGTCCACCTAGGGCCAGTTTTGGTCTATAGGAGGCGGGCTAGTACCGCCTCCTCCCCTCTTTGCCGCCCACAATAGTGGGTCCCACTTTTCAAATTGAATCCAAAACAAAAAAGGAGGGGGCGGTTAGGGTTTTGGATGGAGATTGGATTTAGAAGGTTTATGTATTAAATAGCATGAGGTGTTTTAGGGTTAGGGTTATGCTTTGATTTGTTTCTCTTGAAGTTTTTTTTGGTGTCTTGAGCTCTAAACTCGTCATCTATAGATTGGGAGAGAACGATCCTCCTCTTAAATTGAGGATCAATTGTATCTTACCTTGTGCTTTGAATCCACTACTACAATCTTTCGTTTCAACATTGAGAATATCGCATTGTTTCTGCTGTTTTTATCAATTATTGCTAGGGTTGCTTACGAACTCAAGTATTTCCTCTTGGATTACTTGCGAACTCAAGTATTTCCTATCACATATCCACCATAGCAAGCATCAAACACATTGCCAATGAGATCATGTTTACTATGAGCATCATGTTTGTCTTTCTCTACAAGCATCACATTTGGCAACAACAAGTAACAACTCATTGTTAATAGGATGCATTGCATCGGTTTTTGTTAGTGTCATCACATGGCTGTCAATAGAGATTCATAATTTTTGCTCAAGCTCTAAAAAATTATGAATACGACCAAATGAATTGAAGTTGGGCCTACTTATAAAATTAGAGAGATCTTTTTGTCAAATATGGTTTTAATTTCATTTTATTCAGAATAGTAGAATAAGATCTTCATTATGGAAAAACTTATTAAATAGACCTCACCTCTTGGTTTGATCGCCCAAATCTAGGTTGGTTACAACTGTTGTTAGCGAAGTCTTTGATTATTGATCCAAAGATAACATTTCATTGGCACATTATAAGGATATTAGTGATCATAAAACAATATTTCCATGAATAATTTGACAAGATTAATAGAGAGAAGGCCCATTGCCTTCTTTTATAGATATGACAAGAAATGTGCCAATGCCCACAAACTTTATATGGATTCATTGCTATACTTGAGTGGAGTTTTTAAGTCTAAAAACTCATAAAAGGTGAATTGCAGGAGGGAGTGGAAATTTAGAGAAATTTTACGTATTTAAAATGATTTTTGCCTGAATGAATACAAACTGACATAATGGATGCTAAAACATGGTGCTTGTTCATGGTTAATTTGAGTGAATTATCGGAATGACCGGAACAATGGTGTTGATTACCATCTTAGTTTAGGGCTTTTCATGAGGAATATGGCCAATCTAGTTGGGCTATGAAATGGTCCCAATTCTAGTTGTATAAAGATATAATGGATCAATGTGATGTCCAAATATGTTTTGGATTGATTATGCCATTATGAGCAGAAGTTCAATAAAATTTAGTCAAATTAAGCTCTAGTTTGATTCTTTTCAGTGGACTTGAGATTTGTACTTGTGTCAAAATTTATGCTTGATAAAATAGGAATTTTCATGATCCTAATTATTTCCCTCTTATTTTTGGTCATCTCTATTGTGTGTTTAAAAATATATTTGTAGAGTAGACATGATCTATGATTAGCTTCAAGATGAGGAATGAGAAATGATTCGAGTCAAACTTCATCGATTGTGATCACTACATGGACATTAATGAAGGATCATCTTCTCCTTTGTTTGTGAACCAACATATTCAATTTACCACACAACTTTAACTAGTTGGACCCTATCAAGAACATGGTATCGTTTAGATGGATCTCATATGTGATTCAATTTTAGTTAAATAAATTTAGTTGTTGATGTAGTTTGAAACGAGAAAGATTTGCTGAAGAATGAGGCTTCAATGAATGTAGTAGTGATGAATGACCATCCACTACAAAGGCTGCAAGTTAGAGGAGTTGACTTTAATCGGTTGGTGAAAATCTTTAGTGGAGGTTCTTCTATGTTCATGTTTAAATGAAATTTGAGAGTTTCTTTTTGATTTTTTTCAAAGTCTTCCTATCTTTTGCATTTTATTGAAATTTTGCACACATCCTCATTACACATATGTTGAGATCCATGTTTTTTTAAGATAATTCCATTATTTTCTTCATGAAATTGGCAATTTTTTGGTGACTTCCATATTACTGGAATTTTGTTAACCAATTTTGACAAATTTTTATGGTTAAACTGACATTGATATCAAACAAAATTTTAGGGGATTGTTACAATTACTTGGAGCGTGATCCAAAATTTTAGTATGATCTAAATGCATTTTTATAAGTGAAATAAGATTGAGAATTTGTATCTTTTGTTCATATAATTTAGAAACATGATGTGGCTTCATCACTTGGCCAAATGCTACAAAGTTTTTGTGAGCCTTAAGGATTCCCTTTAAAATTTATTTTGATTTAGAGAATTTTGTTTTGTCCCTCAAATTCTATTGATGTTGCTAAGGGTTAACAATTCTTGTACTGTGTAGATGGAGGAAAAAAAATTGTGGGATATATAAAAGAAATGAGTTTTTCACTAAAGTTTGTGTGATTGGATAATGAATTGAAATACGATATTTAAACAAAAAAAAAAAAAAACAACTTCACTTTATAATATAAATGACTTACAAACTTTTGACGCTTACAAACGACAAAATAAAGACACAACGGCTTTGCCAAATGTTGAGAAGAAGGATACAAGTGAGGTGGATACTTGCGGGAAGAAGAATGAGATTAGAAGCCAAGAAGAAGTATAACTCACAAGCTATAGAGAGGAGAAGAAGGTGAAGGACATAGCTCGCAAGCTATTCCAAAGAAAACCCTCAGGTTTTATCTCCAAAAATCATCATCACACAACAACCTAAAATAGCTCAAAACAATCATATATATAGGAGGGAAGAAGCAGCCCAAAAGCCCTTAAAACAGCCCTCATAAATTGGAGAAGAGGAAGGCCAATAGTCACCAAATGGAAGGCCAAAAGACAACAAAACTGCTGCAGGAAAATTGCACAGAAAACAGGAAAAATTCCATGGAATTCCTCCCCAAATAGCCACGGGAATCTAGCCAGCAAGGGACCCGAAAAATCAGCACAGGAGCCAAAGCAACAGTCCATGGGAAGCCAGCCAGCAAGGGACCCGAAAAGCCAGCACAGGAGATAAAGAGGCAGGGCACGGGAAATCAACCAGCAAGGGGAAACCAAGAAGACAAAGGGAGGAGAAGAGGCACAAGTCCACTCCAATAAACTCCACAATAATGAGCTTGAAATAAAAGCATACCTTTTTGATTTAATTAGCTAAATTAAGTAGTGGAAAAGCATTTATGAGCTGAAACATAAGTAGAAGAAGCTCATTAATGAGCTGATTTTAGAAGCTCACCAAAATTTAAACTCAACTTGTTTTGACCCCCCCTTGCCTACATCAATTATAAGAATAAACTATAAGCAATATAAGTAGGTGATTCTTCTTCCCTGAAGGTATAATAGTTTGTGTGCTCTAGAAAGTTTTTATGAGGCCTTTGATGGAGTACTTTACTATCTAAGCATCAACTAGATTATTGATAGGAAACACTCGTAGATCTCAAGTATTTCCTATCAATCTTCAGAAAATAGCGAGAATTCTCCACAAAAATATGCACAAAATCTCAAAAAATAGTAGATAATTTGTATTTTTTTGATGAAAGGGAAATGGAAATTGCAAGATACAATTGATCCTCTATTCAAGAGGAGGATCGATCTCTCCCAAATCTCTAGACGCCGCTAGAGCCCAATGAAAACCTAAATCTAAGAGATCTCAAATTTCAGCCAAATTCAAGATGCCATAATCCTAGGAAAACAAAGTATTTAATGCATACAAATCAAAAGGAAATTCCCAAATAGTCCCTACATTCAAATTTCCCTCCCAAATCACTCAAAAATTCTTCCTAAAATGCGTCGTTTGCTTCGGCGGCTCGTGCGGAACCTGCAGGAGGCGGAAGAGTTCTGCCTCCATTTCGTTAGCCGGTCCAGTATGGTCTTGCTGGACCAGTCCAATGGACCGGTCTAACAATACTCCCTTCCCAAAGACCCACCTTATCCACAAGGTGGAAAGATGACACCTCCCTCCATTCTTTCTTCATCACAAATGGTAAGAACCTGAATAGTTCGATCCTCACACATATGCCTCGGCGTATACCTCTCGTCACATCGGAAATAGATCCCCTTCGTCCTCTTCTCCTGTAATTCTATTTTTGTGAGCTTCTTGAAGTTGTCCCCAAATCATCCTCCGACAGTTTTCTCCTTCGAAGTCTCCTTATGAGTACTTGATGTTGGCTCCTTGGGTGCTAAAAAGGTGGTGGTCATCTTGTACGAGCCTCCTGAACTACTGCCTCCTGCTCCTTTTTCCAGGTG